TATATATATATATATATATATATATGAGCAATAGTATAACATAAAGATGAACCAAATGAATTCATTTCAACTAATATTAGCACAAGTGCTTTCCAGACGATTCATTAACCAATGACATGCATGGAGTAACAAAACAATCATGACAATATATATTAACTTTGAATAATTTCGACTATATATACAGCGGCGGATCTATATATTGAATAATATGGGGGGATTTGCCCCCCTTCAATTAATTGGCATTGAAGTTATTAATAAACAAAAGAAGAAAGTGATCATCACCAGAAGATGGTATCAAACATAATTAATTAATTAATTAATTAGTAATGGAGAAGGACAAGGGTAAAACGTTAAACTCCTCAACCCCCACCTGTGAACGAACATATTTCCTTCTATATTTATATAATCGCGGACAAAGTTCATATAATTCAAGCCTCGGATTTCCAAATCAATAAAATAATATATATATATATATATATATATAACATTTTATAAATCAATTAATTTATTGAATCTTTACCTCCACCTTCTTATACAAAGAAAACGACATTTGTGCACCGAATCTTCTGTCCTTTTTTTTTTTTCATCGAGTTGCTACATAACATGATGTACGTACTAAAATATTAGAAAAAAAAATATAAAACCATTGATTACCGATCGAAGTACCATTTACGAATATAATCACTATTCACCTTGTTTGGATTGAATTCTCACAAGACATTTAGGTTAATTCTGTAGATTCGATTTCTATTACAAGCAAATGATGACAAGATTTTTGCATATATATATATATTATTGGGTATGCATAAATACCACAATTTTTTGTATTTTAAGCAATTATTTAAAATTACTGAAGCGAAGCTCTATGTGTGTGACTACTAAATCAATACACAAAGCAATTACGAAGGTTAACTCAGAATTCAGACCAAATTCCAAACCCAGAAAGGATTTTCATTTATTTCCAAGTAGATGATATATAATTTTATTCTCGATCTTTTTTTTAAATCTATTTTTTTTAGTTTCTTTAAGGCTTTTGACGAGGAGGAGAAAATTCCGTACCGGACATGAAAGCGGTGAAGGGGCTAGTAGTGGTCATTAGCGGACATGAAGAACTTGACGGAAGAAGAAATTCCTGGCGCTGATGATGATGATGATGATGATGATGACGAGGATGAACAGTACTGATGATTCTCTGTTCATCTTCTGGGCCTTGATCATACAGAATTCCTTTGAAAACGTGTCCTCCGATGCTCACCGTCGTCTGATAAGCGTACTGATCTTTGCCATCGTCCACTGATGAGCTCACTCTCACACACCGGAAAACCGCCGTGGAATTCAACTCCGCCGGAAAATGGGTCGGCGTGATGATCCCTAACCCTAATAATTAAGAAATTTAACAGGAGAGAGCAATTCAGCACGGTTCTAACGGAATAAGAATTTGTTTATGTTTACAAATATGATTAACTTATTACACCATCAAGATCTTTATACACCATCGATCTAATTATAACGTGTTAAAAAGAGAGAGCAGTATAGTTAACAATGGTACGAAATTCAAGAATCACAACTAAATCATACATAAAACAAGTCCGGAAATATATCCATTTTAAAACAAGAGGGCATCCACATTACGACGCTATATATTATACCGCCATAATAACATTCACAAAGCCCGGAAGAAGTCTTCGGGTACAGATCAAGAACCGACACTGAGTGACGTCTTACCGCTCGGGCACAACTAGATACAGTCCCAAAGGACAAATTTTGAAAGAAACCCAGATGAGAAGTCCCAAACCCAAGATGCTATATGGTGTTATATAGATCCATATATGCGTGTGTGCGTGTGTGTGTAGAGAGAGACATACACATATAGACATGCGCTAGAACAGTTGAGAAAAGGTAAAGTAGCCTAAATGTCGTCGGGAAAAAAAATTTTAGAAAAAAAAAAAAAAAAAAAAGAAAGAAGAAGAAGAAGAAGAAGAAGGGTAGGACCTTCTCTGAGGCGTTTAGGGTTAGTAGAGTAGTGGTGATGAACAGGACGCTGGAGGGGTTGTTGCGTTTGCGTTTGCGTTTGCGATTGCGTTTGGGGTTGTAGTCTTTGTCGTCTTCTATAGGCAGGAACCCAGGTGCTCTTGATGTGGCAGCTAGCTCCTGCTGCCGTACAGGATCATCTCTAACTGTCGACCTTTCTTCGCCTGGTTCCCACAGTCCTCACATCTTCTCCCCATCATTGATTCTGATCTCATCATCCTATACACCATTTCATCACCTCATCTTTACATATATATATATATATATATGTCTATGTTTGTGTTTTCGTATATATGTATATATCGTGTGTATGTATAGACAGATTAGTAGAGGCCAACCAGCTTTCTTTCTCTCCTGTGATCTCTCTTTTTGTTTTGGAAGAGGAGAAAGAGAAGGGTTCTTTAGCCTTCTGTTGCCCCATCTTTTCCCTTAGTAAACATGTTTCATTTTTCTTTTTTCTTTTTTAAATATGCGAGTAAATAAATAGGGCAACCATGGTTTTATGATCAGTTACATGTTTCGAATATATATATATATGTCTGAAAAATCTCTAATGTAGATATTTACGAAGTTGGAATAATATACATTAAAAAAGTTCCTAATTGATTTGAATTTTTGGAAACTTTCCAAATCACTTACTCTTTTAATCGAATTTAAATTTAAATTATTCTACTTTTCACTTCTTTACAAAAGAATTAAATATCTCAAGGGCATGGAATTCTGTATATATCCAAAGCACCCCAAAAAAAAACATTAGAATGTGTGTAACAAAATTTCTGCATTTATTATCCCAGCAATCCAATCCGATCCAATTTATGGGCATATTAATTGTTGTTTGCACTGTTTCGGGAAAAAAGTTCGTGGGACAGTTTAACCACAGGAAATGTCACACAGCATGGGAATACTACACTGTATACATATATTTTTGTATACACCTTTTTCTGATAATGACGGGATTTCAATGTGATATATATATATATAGGCATAAAGGGTATTCTTATGTTTGCATTTTTTTTATTCTTCTTCTTCTTATTTGTTTTATTAAATAGAATTGGAATGGATTCTTTGTACTGGTGTCGGCCGGAATTCAATTACCAACGGAAAGCAAAGCATTCACCAGATATAGTATCATTTCGTATGGTTGGATGTTTTATCATATTTAAGTCAGCTCCTTTTTTGTTTTGGAAAATACCTTTCACGAGAAATATGTAAAAATATTGTAACCAGACAATAAATAAAGGATACCAAAAACCAACGTTAAAAAATGAGAAAGAAAATAAATATATTTCTGCGAAAAGGAAAAGGAAAACAAATATATTTGTGCTAAAAGTTATTTATATTTCCGAGGGTGAAAAAAAGGGGTTTATGTCGTGAATGAGTAAATAAGCTGGTTGGACACAATTGAGGGGAAAACTATTTACACACAGTACAAAGACGGGTTTTCCTGGAAACCCGGAGGAGACTGTCACTTCGTCTCGTTCCTCGGTCTCGGTCTCTCGCTCTCTCTATACACACACATACATATACATATATACAGATAAACCGAAGCTAAGCACTGCGTGTCGTTTCCCTTCAAACCGCACAAACCACATGCCCTTTTTTTTTAATCTTTTTGCGGATGAAGATCAGCACGGAGTTTTCTGTCACAAAGGTGAAAGGGGGGGGGGGGGCGGGCGCGAAAAGCAAACGGGAAACAGAAACAAACGGCACGGCGCTCGTTTCCCGGACGTCAAAACAGCACGCAAGTCTTCCACGAATATTTTATTTACCCTAATAATGTAGCGATCAAAGACGTGTGGCATGTGTCCAAGTTGCTTCCAAATAATTTGGCCATCTCATCAATAAGACAAAGAAACATAGAAACAAAGAACGAAAGCCCCCCAAAAAAAAGGAAGCAAAAAACAATGAAAGAAAACTTGGGTAATACATAAAAAGGCAGAAATATAATGCAAAAAAAAAAAAAAAAAAAAAAACTAGAAACGAAGAGGAATCGCCACAAAGCCAAAAATTAATTCTCATAAGTGCTTAATACATCAGAAAGCAGAGAAACAACTAATAGATATTATAATAACCTGCAACGAACGAAGCCCATTGATGATGAACCTGATTCACAGTAAGACATCACAAACACAAACCAGTTTGCTATTTCAACATACGAAAATGAAATAAAAATAAAACTCTCTTTCGGTAAAAGCGTATCTTACTTGCCTTGTGTCTGCGTCGTAGAAAGGCATTTGTAATGAATGATCACCGGACTTGAGAAGGAGAGCATAGCAATCCTGAAGCGTCTGCCCCAATGACAGCGAGATCGCAGACAGAACAGAGCTTACCTTCCTCACTTGGCACAAACCGAGCCGTGCAGTAACGACACAACACGTCCTTCTGACCCCGATAGATCGGGACATAGGTGGCCCCACATGTCACAAACGGGTTTCTGAAATCGTAGTTCAGCTTGGCTGCGTCAGTCATGTTGCGTTCGGCGGCCTGCACGACTTGCCTCGCCATCTTGGCCTGGCTCTCCACTGTCGGGTTTGTTTCTAGTAACCTCCTGGCGAAGTTAGAAGCCGTGGCAAGGTTCTTTGCCTTGTAGCAGACGCTCATTGCGCTGAGAAGGGCGAGCCTTAGGTGAGGCGTTTGCAGATTGCAGTGGGTGAAATAAGCAGCTAGCTCCTGCTGCCGTACAGGATCATCTCTCATTTCCCTCCTCTTGAGCTCCATTTGCAAACCGAGGACGTATTCTTTAACGATAATGATCAGCTCCTTGACTTCGTCGACTTCTCTCCTTGACTCCACTACCACGAGGGGGATGGTGTGGAGGATGGAGAGGAAAAGACGAAGAGCCTCTGTGAATTTTCCGGCAGTCGTGGCTTTGTAACCGGCCTTGAGCTTCTCTTCCAGCTGAGAGAAATTGTAAGCAAGGGCTGGCGGCCCACGGATGCTGGGACTGGCAGATTCGTTCCATCCACGTTCGATGGCGAGGGATACCACAGGAGATGAAGAAAACGCACGCAGATAGCTGTAGCTGCCCGCAAACAGATCAAGGAACATGGATTTCAACGGCGTAAAATTCTTTATGCCGAGCTGTCTGTTCAGCAATCGCATAGCGGTATCGAAGCTCCCAGCTGCTGCGTGTTCAGCAGCAAGTGATGATTTCTGGGTCCAGATTTGACTTACGGGCATGCCCGGAGTCGGTGCCACAAAGACTGCAGAACGTGAATTGGCAGACACCTTCGGTGTTTCGAGCTCTGGCGGGAGTTCCAGGTCTTCGAGTTCCCATCCACCTTCCTCGTCGTTTTCTTCACCCACTTCTCCATCCTCCATAATTTCTTCTGCGTCCCCATTCTGTATTCCGTCAATATCAACCACGTCAAGCTCCTCGCCCCAATCACCTTCGCCGTCATCCTCTTCATCAACTGCCCCTCTGACACCGCTCTCAAGCCCTCCTTCAAATATTCCTTTCATAACTCTCAGAAGGGGCCAATCACCACCACCCATGACGGGAGGCGGTGGCATTAGAAGCGATGGAGTTTTACCTTCGGGCAGAGTGGGAATGTTGTCTCCTAACTCAGCCGCCAGACGCTCAGCAATGTCATGTAAACCGTGAACCGAAGCTGTGATATAAGCAAGAGGCAAATGCCCAGCACCTTCCAGGATCTTAACACGCTCTCTCACATCCCCAAGGTAGAGGGCATCGTGAAATTGACCCATCACGTCATTCTTAACTTCAGCAATCTTCATCATCTTGGACAGCTTTTCCATATTGCCAGTGATGAGATAGAGGAAAGATAGCCTCTCAAAGTTCTTTGTCCGCTGGTAGGCAAACTCCACAATTTTAGCATTACCTTGTCGGAGAGCCTCCACCCCAAGTCTGTACCAGAGATCTTTCTCGTCGATCTCTTTAGCTGCTTCAACAGCAATACCGATGTTACCACTTTCCAAAGCCAGGTTGAACCGAGTCCTTTCATCTTTCACAAAATGGAGGGCAACTTCTGGGAATCCTTTCTGTTGCAGGTAAGCAATCATAGCCTGCCCACACAATTGGGAATTCCTAATCATGCTCATGACATGATCATACCTCTTCCTCAACAGTGAAAGCTTGAAAATGTATTCTGTTGCATCGATGGCAATAACCCTGTTTTTCCCATCCCGGTCCAAACAGAAGACATTATTACCAGAAACCTTTGTGATATAGATAGGGATATTGAGAGTTTGGATTATTCCACTATCTCCATTCGGGAGACAATATTTCATATGGTTCAAAGTTGTGTATATGAAAACACCGTTGTCATCCCAAGCTCCACTCTTCACACGTATTGTCTCATGAAGGGTGCATTGGTGGACAAGCTTCTTGCTGGCAATGATGATAGTATGCTTGCTGAGTAAAGCGACAGTCTCCAGGTCATTAGACCAAACAATGTATCTGACAAAAGGGGTCTGAAGGTCACCAAGAACCAGCCTTTGCTGAAGGTCAAATATAACCACTCTATCCTCAGATCTGCAAAGCAAATTTCCTGTTCCAGCATAAAAAATAGCATCGGTAGGAATTGGCAGGGAACTATTTTTAACCACCTCGTTCTTGAGATTCTTGACCTGCACTTGGTTGGTGCTTTTCTCCAGCACAGCAAACCGATTTCGAGCTATAAATACCGCAGAGCCTCCAGAGCCCCTCTTTGCCTCTTGCACAGAGTCACTCCTACCAACACTATCTTTTGGAATGATGTACAACTCATAAGAACCACCATCAACATCTGAGCAGATCAGAACGGCATTTTCTGTGGGGCTGTAAGATAAAGTCCTTGGACTTTGGTTCAGGCTTGGGGTACCAGGACGTCGTATAGGGATGACTTGCGAGTCTCTTTGAGTCGAGAACTCGTAGTAACGCAAAAATCTATCCTTGGCATAGAACAAGGAATCACCACTAACAGAAAATGCGGGGCGTTCTCTCTCAAGTTTAAAGACAATCATTCCGCTGTCATGTCCTGCTGCCAGTAGATTCATCTCAGGGTGAACCGCAAGAATCCAGAACCTGTCGTGTTCACGGCGGAAAGTTTGGAGTCCAGTTCGCTTGGTACCATCCCAGACACGGATGCTTTTATCTTCAGAGTTAGATACAATAATGTCCTGCTTGGCATGGAACATAACGCATGACACATTATTCATATGGCCTCGGAGTGTGTCCACTTCCCAGGCCTTAGTTTCTGCAATGACATTGAAAAGTTCACATTACTACGACGGCTCAGGAAAGATTCCCCCTCCAGTTTATCATACATGATTGAAGGAATTAACTTAACGGAAAAGTAAGCAAAAAATAAAAGGAAGACCACGTTTTTCACGTATTTACCATTCATGCGCCACAACTTCACTTGGCGATCATCTGCACCAGAGACTATGAGAGGCAGGGTGGGATGGAAAGCTGCCCAATTTACTCCTCTATCGTGACCTTCTAGGACATACTTGACTATAGCATCAACACCGCCGAAAAGGTCAGTGTTCATTTGACTCAACCTCAGGATGTCATCAGCAGGAGATACGGTCTTCTTCCTAAGAGCGCCAATATCCCAAACACGGACAGTCTGATCCAAGGAGGCTGATACAACAAGGTCTTCTTTTGGATGGAAAGAAGCACACATAACGTAATGATTGTGACCAGTCAAGACAGAAATACAGGTCCGTGATTGCCAGTTCCATATGCGGATAGTCTGATCGTCACTAGCACTCACAATCCATGGGTACTCATGGTGAAACTGGACCGTGCGGATATAATCAAGATGCCCAAGTAGAGTGAAGAGGCACCTGTGCGTTTTGTAGTTCCAAACCTTAATCTTGTAATCATCCCCTGCAACAGACAGTGATGTCAATTCCATATAATACACATTTGAAAGAAAATTCAGTGAATGAGAGCTGAAAAGAAAATGAGACAATACGCATACACTTGAAACTATTTAATGCGTGCAAGCATCTCAGATAAAATAGCCATCTAGAGATGCTTTATCAGCATTTTCTAGACTCATATCATATGCACCCAGGGTAAAGAAACTCAATTTCACAGAAGTATAAACAGTCACCCCAAAGATACCGCAAGTGAAATATCTTTAAGATTTGTATGCAAATAAAAAGCATTAATCTGTAAGTATAATACGAAACCTGAGAAGAATCAATTATTCATGAGCTCAACTTGGACCATTTTCTAAAGCACAGACGTTAGAACTTGGGTAAATCGGTCCTGCAAACCTATGACATATGCATCAACTAAATCATCCATCGCAATGATAGTCAAGCTAGATCTAGAAACCAAGCACGACTCGCGCAATGATAGTCAAGCTAGATCCTGCACGAGCAACACATCGTTCCAACCAGTGCCAGGCTTTTGGGGTAACCTGGTCAGAATTTCTCAGATCGATGTCAAATCAACTAAAGGTAGCGCTATAGTTTACATGCCAAGTTCCAGAAGAACTTAATGATCAGAATAAATTATACCTCCCGAGACGAACAAAGGCTGTGATCTGTGGAAATGAACACCACGGACAGGTCCCTCGTGCTCGTCGAATCTATCGATCAAAGTCCCCATACGATAATCCCACAGCTGGATCACACCACTGTGCAAACTCGCAAGAATCCATGGCCTTTTGCTGTGGAAGCTCAGACCCTTAACTCTGTTGCTCTTTGTCTCGAACTTCGTCAGCATATTCCACGATAACGAATCAGGAACACTCTACAGAAACCAAAACACGGAGAACGAATCATGAACCAGACGCAAACAATTCAGTGATCCAATCAACTACAAAATCACCCGAGCAAAACCTAATCTATTTAAAATTGAGGATAGATCTGAACACATCCAAGAAATGAGATTCGAGAAACGAGATTCGCAGGATACAGAGAGAGAGGGATTCACCTCAGATCGGATCAGTTCACGAAGGAGGCGATTAAGCACAGCGTCACGCCGATGATCAGCAGCATTACCAAACAAGCGTCAGTATGGGTACGTAGAGAGATCGCAGGAGAGAAAATGGAAGGGATCTGAGTCCTCTCTCGAGAAAGGAATCGAGAACGAGAGAAAGAAGAAGGCGAGACTCAGTTTCGGCGTGTAGATCTGAGTCCTCTCTCGCTCAGATGTGTGTGTCGAAATGATGAAATCCCGTCCCAATGAAGAAACCATAAAAAGAATCAAGAAAAAAAACGAAAATAAAATTTTCATCCCAATTAATAAAAAAAATTAAACGATTTTAGCAACAGCAATATACGTTGGTAACCCGATATTAAAAATAAAGTAAAAATTCTTATTACTGTTACAGTCACCGACACGTGGATATTTAAGCAGTCGAAAAAATCCGATATTGTATTTCTTTTATGCAATCCGATACATATAGAAACAATGCAGAGCCTAGGATTTTCTATTCAAGCAAATAATTTGGATAATTTATTTATAAAATATATATACACACAGTGAAACGACGTTAATAAAAAAAATGAAGCAACAACAACAACATGACCTTATTCCCAAATTTATTTGGGGTCGGCCACGTGAATCCTTCGTTTCCAGTCTTTTCGATCATGTTGTTAATTCTTTATAAATCCATTTATATGATTACTCAAGTTACGGCCCAAGGAAGATATAAATTAACCAGATAGACACAAACGGCCCAATGAATCCCATTAAATGAAGTGACATAAAGCGGCCTAGTTACAGATGGGCCGTTAATTATTAAAATGAACTGGCCCAGTATATATGAATATAAAAGAACTTTCACTTGGGTATGGAACCAAAGTGGAACCAATTCCAATTAGGGTTAAGCATGTCCAAAATTTCACGTTTACATGTCTAAGATGATTTATGTCAGAATTCAGGGTTCAGTACGGTTATGTGGAACCGAACCAAAAAAACTAGCTATCATTTCTGAATCAAACCGTTATTAATTTTCGAACCGTATTTTTTTTTTAAAAATCGAACTTTTCGAAATAAAACTGTACTGAATCAGAATTTTTTTTAAAATATAATATTTTAATAAAAATCAAAATCGAACTGAATATAATATAATAACATGATCGGTACATATTTTATAAAACCGAAAAAAACGAATCTAACAGGACTCATAACTAGTACCGAAATATCTAACCCTAACAACAACGATCGAGCCCTACATAGCGAAGAATAATAAAATAATTTTTTATATACCCCGAAATGTTGATAAATAACTTCCACAGTTTGTGAAAATGTACATAAATCAAACACGTATATTCTAATGCCCGATCTAAGAAGACCGGACAGGAAAATTGGAGTAGGAGTGATGCAAGTCACTTGTCAGGAAATGGACAACGTTTGAACTCGGATGGGAAAAGAAATGGACATTTGGTCCAAATTTGCATTTTTTTTTGCTCTCATAGAGACAGGTTTCGTGAAAATGATTTCCCATGATCTTTTACGACGTGAAATATAGGCAAACAGATGAGCTATCCCCACTCACGTATATACGTACTTTTTTTTTTCTTTTGCGTACATAATAACATGAAGACAACAACACATACATACAAAAGCCGAAACAAGTAACAAAAGAATTCGAACCTGCCCGCTCGGAAAATAGCAGCAGGCTGCCCAGACCACTGAGTTCCCTGCAGTTTCCGACCACGACACGTGAGACACTGTATATCAAACAAGGAGCTTTTTTTCCTGGATTTAGAAATATTTGGTTAGAAATGTTCGGAGAGATCTCGAAGCGGAAAGGAGTTTGAAAAAAATCCAGAATTGGGTCATAGAATAAGGCAGAAGTAGCAGCTCAGGTTTCATTAAACAGTACTTGCTATATCCGACATAGTTCCAGATAAAAGAAATTACCTTAATAGTTGCAGAGATGATGATTTGTCGGGGTTTAAGATGGGAATGCAAACAACCGATTCGATATCTTTGTGCGGCAAATCGGGCACTCGGAGCAAGCGAGGGAACAAGATTTACAAACTGTTACAGAATGAGAAACCGATGAACAATCTTCATATGAAGGAGTTGTTGAATGTATAATAAGATAACTTACGGCAGAAATGTCGGCATGGGAGCAGAATTGCTGCAGTTGGCGACACGAAACAGACTTTACAGATGTGAGAGTTGGCGTCCCCATTTCCATGGGACTTCAGCTCTTTCTCTTTCATTTCTTGCATCCTTGCCTGCAAAAGCATTACATGGAGAATGTTTCAGACAGGGGTGGGCCAATTTGGTTAATAATCGAATAATAAACTAAACTTATTCGAACCAAATAACAAAAAAATGTAACTGAATCTGATAATAAAACCGAATAGCTATGATTGCTCTAAAACTGAACCTAAATTGAATCCAACTGAATAAAATATAACCGGAAAACAAAAAAATTCTTTGAAAAGAAGAGATTTTTTATTAAAAAAAAAAAAACAAACCCAACCAAATTCAATGTAGAAAACCGAGTGGTTATAGTTTTTCTAAAACCGAAATAACCGAACTCTAATACACCCGAAATGAACACCTCTATTCAGATGCTTTTCCTTTTGAACACCCAATTATTGAATGCATGATAACATGTACATGCATGTCATATTTGTACGTGTGTGTTTCTATATTATGTATGAGGAATCAAAGGTATAGCGAACAACATCACCTTTAAACGAGCAACAAGATTTTCCTCTTTTGGCCCCTCTTTGGCCTTTGCTACACCTCCTTCGGATTGTCTCTGTGCATCTGACACTTGTCTCTCTTTCAGGACCGTAGTATTACTATAACTCTTCTCCAATTCTTTTTCTGGGTCTGATGTACCATTCGGCTGCCTCTCATCAGTCTTAAGCTCGGGCAAGGCACCGCCATCTTTCTTCAACTTGGCAACAAGTACCCACATGTTTGCCAAATCGTTTTCCAGAGCTTCCTCTCTTCTCTTTGCTTCTTCTGCCTTTTTCCTATACTCCTCTTCTACGAACTCTTTCTCCGCTAGAGCGGCCTCTAAAGCATCCTCCCGTTGTTTCCTCGCCTGCAACTCCATTTTCATATCTTCTAGGTCGAGACTCCATGAACCAAAGTTGTCAGCTCCTACCAGTGCATTGATTTCAGTGGATCGGCCAGAGAGCCTTGCCTTTCTCCCAGGTCTCGTTCCATCGCTATACTTGCGGGTAGCACCATTAACATTGTTCCGAGCGAGAGCCAACTCTCTAGCAGCTGCTAGTTCTTTTTCTAGCTTCGCATTTTGTAGCGAAAGCTTTGTCACTTCACCTGCCAAATTCTTTAGCTCAACCGCAGCAGAAGAGGCCAGTTCCTTAGCATATGAAGCTTCTTCTGCTAGTTTTTGGTTTTGCACTCGTAGCCCACTGTTCTCCTCCACAAGCTGTACATGCTCTAACTTCAGTTTCTCGTTCTCAATCTCCTGATGTATAAATTGTAAATATTTATATAAGTACAGTGAGAAGGTCAGTGTGTGTGTTATGTCTGTTTGTCTAAGCAGATACGTTACACGTCTGTTCAACAGATTGCAGGGATTATGTGTTCATACTCGTGAGACTAAGTTTGCAGGTTTAATGCAATGGAAGGTACACGAAGTTCACCTGAGTCTGTATTTTCTTTCTCATCTCTATGTACTCTACAGAAACAGAGCTTCTAGAAGACGATGAGTTTTCACTGGAAAGTGCACTCAACCGCTGTTCTAGAAGGGTAACCTTCTTTTGCAATTCATCATTCTCAGCACTCTGCATTGTGAAAGAGACCGTATTACTAAAACAAGTAAGCAAATAGCAGAAAATACCAACGGAGTAAAAGAGACATGAGAAAAGAAAAAGAGATCGTGAATGACACAGAAAGGGGAAATGAGAAACAAACCTTTTTCTGAAGTTGATCCTGGAGAATGCGATTATCTGCAGATTTGATCTGCGTCAGAGACAGAAGCAGATTAATCAGACGATGGCTCTGGCAAATCTTTCACTTCAGCTAGAGAAAACAAGACTTTCATTCTACAACAAACATAAATTTCACCTCCAGCTCAAAGCTCTTCTCATTGCATTGGGTCATCAATGTCATAACTTTCTGTAACAAAAAATAAATGTGTATGTTACATTACCTGACCCCGATTCAGTTCCTCCGTACACTTCAAATCAAATCACCATGAGAGGTAGGAAGTATCACGGTTATACCTGTTGCATCTCAAAGAATGATGCATTAGCAATTGAAGCTTCACCACTTTCAATTATGCGCTGTTCCAAGACCCTCATTTGCCTTTGCTTTTCTTGAATCTCGCGTTCCAGATTCTGGATCTGCAGACGAGAATTTATCCACATTACTTAGTTAAAGTAAACCACAAATACCTGGTTTAACACAAAGAGAAACAGAAGGTACTATAAGACAATCACTATGTCTTAACATGCAAATCTCAAGGTAGATATCAACTCGAGCACAACACAGATACTCATGAGTCCAATAAATCACAGGAAGAGTATTTACTTGGGTTTGTGTGTTCTCGGGATCATTTACAGACTGATCCACCAAACGCTTTAGTGTGCTCGTGCTGAGTGCAATCTCACCAGCAAGCACCTTAACCTGCTCAACTAAGAGGTCCATTTCATCACAAGTGATGCCACCCTGCAATGGCCATAATTATCAGATATTCTTTTTCACAGAAATAATGGATAATTCACCTTAATGGATTAAACAAGAAAGGACAAGAATACTGATGAATGCAACCCCAGGTTTATAATAAATTAAAAATATTGTCCAAGCAAAAGTGTCTTATCTTTATATTCCAAGTTTTCAGGAGATACAAACAAACGCTGAGACAATGTAAAATAAATGCATCATGAGTCATAATATCCAGCAAGTTACTCACTTGAGTCAATTCTGAACCAGAACCAGCAGGAAAGTTTTCTTCATTCGACTTGCTGGAAGACCACCGGTGCTTATGATCAAAAGAAGCATCTGATGACAGAGCCAGGGCCGTAGATGGAGATGCCAAATTTTCATTATCCAAGAGCAGTGAATCCAACTTCTGAAATGGGAAAAAGGACAATATGAGTGATTGCGGTAAATGACTTGCCAAACAAGGAAGCAACAAACATCCACAGAAAAAAGGAACACACAAAGATTTGAACTAAAAACGGAACATGGTCCACAGCAACGGAAAAAACAAATCAGACACAATCAAACAAAATAGAAACATGACACATGATCCTATAATATCAATAATATTGAAGCTTCTCCAAATGAGTAGAAATAACTAAATTAACAATCCAAGGACGCCAAGATTTTATCATTTAGGTTACGTCACCAAATAGCAAACTTACATCATCTTTACCGGCAGAATGACTGCGCTGGTGTGTGGGCATATCACCCGGACATCCAGGAATAGAATTCTTGGTGGAGACAAGTATGAGTTTCGTTAGCTTTTGAATTCTGCTCATCAGAGCTGCTTTGGCTTCTTCTTCTTCCTCTAATCTTGACTGCATTTTCACTTGACCTTCTTCCAACTGTTGAAATAAAATGATTATTTAATTTATTCACTGCCTTATACTCAGGTAATGACAAGATCTTGGGAGAGATTAAAACCTGCTGCCTTAAGATCATTATCTCTTCATGACTGACACCAGCAAGCATACCCCTCTTTAGCTGATCAAGTTCTTGTTTGAGGCTAGATATTTCTCTCTGATATTTCTTAATCAATGATTTTTCATCTATAATCTGTATAACAAAGCACACACAAAAGCAATATGTAATTGAGCTTCAACTTTACACTGAGTGCAGCAAAAGTATTTCATTGTAACTAAAAGATCACCTTATTACGTGAAGCATAAATTTCTATTCTCTTTGCCCTACTGGCAAACTTCAACGTATTATGAGTCTCCTCCATACTGCTTGAAGCCGGAGTGACTGTACATATGAGCTGTAAAATTAAGGAAATGAGAAAACAAAAGTTACTGATGTTTGCTTCAATGCATTAAGGTCATTGTGCCTCCAAACACAGCCAATGTAAACAAAACCAATTGAAGCCTTTGATATACAGCTCAGACAACCAACTATGGTTTCCTTTCTCGATCAAATCACAAGTATCACCAGAGAGTAAAGTAAAGAATCATACCGATACATGCCCATGCCCACTCAACGAAGATTGCAGAAGACGGGTTAGCTTAGAGTCGCGATACGGAATATGAGTTGCCTTGCCCTCACTCAGTTTTCCAATCACCTGCACATTTAAACCATAAGAGAGAATTACAATGTAAATGTTCTACAAATAAACTGTGTGCGAATATAGCTAAAGATGTAATACTCGAAAATGAAAGAAAAAGAGGACAACCAACACTTTTCAGTAAATATAGGCATCAATAACCAAGACACATTAACACGTAATCAAATCAATGCATAGGATCGGAAATTTAGTGACAATCATAAATAATATTCTGCAGCAACTGTAAATTCCTTTTTAAGCCTCAAATGCAACAAAAATCAATGTGTCTAGAAAAGAAATTGCACTTGCAAGAAATTATTGCATTACACAGTATAGGAACTCTGGCTGGCATTTATCATTACAGTTACACAGTAGAACAACAAGCATCTGACAAATGGAAAGACAGATAACACTGAAAATGAGCACCTACGGTTCCAAGAGTTAGAAGACTTTTGTTGATGTACGAACCCTCCTTTCTCCTCAGTCCAGTTGTTTCGGTTTTGGAACTTTCAGATCCAGCTAAGTCAATCAAATTCTACGATAAAGACATCATGAGAAAGCTATCTGTGGAAGAATAATAATCTTAAACAGCCAGACAAAAGAAAGACCCCTTACAAGCTGAGAAAAAATAACTCCATCATACTCATCTCCATGAGCACTACTTTCAATCATCTGCAAGCAAATGAAAATTTTAGAATTTATAACAGAAGTGAAAGCAAAAGCATTGAGGCAGTAGAAGAAGTTCTTAGTTAAAATATTAGTAAAAGTTCTGAAGATAGTTGATGTACCAGTGTAAATATAGTGTGACTTCTGCTGCTCAACAGATTGAAGTTATTTGAACCAACATGCCGATGTTCTGCCATTGTAACCAAATAAGTATTGAAGAGAGGTAGAACGGGCAATAGGAAATTGGAAAAAGCACTGCAGAAGCTAGTTCTCGTAGTTACCTTCCCCAGCTGCAATGAAAGATAATACATGCCCAGGGGATAAAACAACTTCTTCCTTGATACCCTCAACATAAGTGCCCTGGAAATTGAAAGGACAAACCACATGACAGAATGGATGCAAAATAATCGATTTCTTTCTAAAATGTTTACATCAAAACTCTCAGTTTATGAGTAAATTTTATATAGTCTGTGCTGATAAAGAAGCAAATTAAATTTTCTCTTTTTTCCTTAGATCATAAATGATATACTGCTGTGTTTGTGCGTGTGTGAGACAGAAATAAGACGGATAGATAGAGCCAAGCATTTCGTAGGTTAAGACAAACCTGATAATCCTCTCTAACACGTAAATTTTGGCCTGTTGGATCAAGCAAATCATTTATCACCTGATACAGGAAGAGAAAACATCAGACAACTAGCACACAAATAGAGTGTATAACCTTACATGTATCTGAAACCCGGACGATGATAAATTATTGTGAATGTTTCCCCTGCAAAATAGCTTGGTTCTCGATGATAAGTGTACATTCTTTTGAGGAAGCATAATGGAGAAAACCTGGCTGAGGATAGAAATTTAAATTCCAGGGCATCACTTAATTCCAGCATCTAGTGAAATGTCAGAAACGATGAAATCCCACGTACCTCATTATAGATTTCAATATATGAAACACGGAGGAGGAACTCTCTTCCGGGAGTCTGGAATATAGAATGATATGAGCAACTGGTTGACATAAAAAAGTCCAAACAGGAACTGGAAGGAAAGTTTAAATGATTCCATAATGGAAAAGAGTTATTATCATACAGCATGGTCAGCTAAGGAGTATAATTTTAAAAGAGAAAAACTTCTTATTGTCATGGATTAAATCAAACAGGTTCGCAAGAAAAACAGATCCATGAATAACAGCCAACTGCCAGCAGAGCAAATTGACAGGCAAGTAAAAACTATTGACAAGTGAAATGTCATAACACCACATGCACAACGATTATGTGGAAGCTTATACACACAACCAAGGTAGTAAAATAAAATGTTGGATGTAAAGAGGGTTGAGCCCCGTTAAGGACACACTTACATCTTGGATAATGCTGAATACGTCTTTTATTGCCAAGGGTATGATCCCAAGAGAGTTTTGATCCCCCTGTGATACAGCAAGGAAAATGAAGATACAAATACGAAACTATGATTTAAATAGAATAGACACATAAACCACAAAATCATGTAATAAAAGAACCCATAACTTAAAGTGTTCCTATACATTCAAGCATGGCTGACTAACATTTATTGGCAGCTACAAATAAAGCCACTCATTCTTGGTGTGGGAATCAGCAGGCATCTAAGGACGGCCAGATTGCAATGAAATCACTGGCTAATAGTGCATATGTCTTGGGGAGAAAAAAGAAACCCGGAAGAGGAAATCAGAGTAACCACACAGACAATACTTACATGCATTGTATGAGTCTTTCCACTGCTCGTAACACCATAAGCAAAAACGGTTCCTGTCAAGTTGCCAAAACTGTATGAGGAGACTTCATTGGACGCAGTGACAATAGCAAATAAGTTTATTGCAAAGTACTTCAATGAGAAACATAAATTTGGTTAACTGGTTCTGAAGCTATGTTCCATACCATTTACACCTTCCATAGCTGCCTTGACTACAGGTTTTGCAGCTACCTCATACACCTCTTGAGTGGTCGCTTGTGGTCCAAAAACTTTATCTGGCACCAACAAATTCAAAATAACGTTCATCCCATCAATAAGATCCAACAAGATTCTAATCATTACACATTATGAACGTGATCTCGGGAATACAATCATCCAAGATCAGATGAAGCTGATACCAAATGCGTAAGCCGTGACTGGATTGTACTCATGCCTGACAATCTTATCACCGTCTGGATACCAAGCAACCTCATCTCCTCTTTGATACTCTCTATCACTGTACCCAGACAAATAACAAGCAAAAATGTGAAAAAAGGGCATGGAAATTGACGGAGTCGCAGCTCGCATTGCATCTATTGCTACCCCTAAATCAGAAAAATGACGGCGCTATCCTCATTAGATCTGGTTCACCGCGCTCAGATCTACCATACCTCATTGGTCGAAACCGAACGGTGACGGAAATGCTATCTCGCTCAGTACTCGTAGTCTCCATAGGCTCACCGAGCAACTCGTCCGACGGATAAGGGACAGGCGATTGACCTTCGTAGCCCCCAGCGTCGAGGTAGGCCGAGTCGGAGCGGCTACGACTAGGTGTCATAGATCGAGACCCGATTCCGCCGCCGGAGTTGAAGAACGAAGAAGCAGAGGTAGAGCACGAGCGCGGAATGAGACGGTTACTCATGTAAGACGAAGAAGTTGACGAGGCTGACGAGTGGGGGCTCGGCGGTCTCCGGTATGAGAACGGTGAACTGCTCCTAGCTCTGGATGACGATGAAGCCATCCAGCGCTCCGAACTTGGTCAACTCGCGAAACTCGGCGACTCACTCACCGATCGATGAGGAAGAGGAGGAAAGAAAAGAATCAGGCAAAAACACCGGAGGACGGGGACGAAGAGTCGTAGAACCTCACATGGTTGGAGACAGGAAAATGCATTTTGCTCTCTCTCTCTCTCTCTCTCTCTCTCTCTCCCTCCCTCTCCTTCTCGTCTTCTTCAAGCGAAAGTGTTGAGGAGAGAGAGAGATCCAATGGAGAGATTTCTCCGGGTGAAGAGACGAGGAGGCTGAAATTTGATTTTTCTCATTTTGAATTTTTTTTTGTCGGCTCCGTTTTTCATTTAAAAAACATATTTATATTATTTGAATATTTGAAAATAATTGAGGATAAAAATATAAAATTGATTCATTTAAAAATGTGAACTGACGTCTGACGTGGCTTGCTCAAAGGCTGTCGCGAGGATTTTCGAAAATAATAAATTTAGGAACGGGGTGACGGGAGAGATTTCACGTCGATGCTATGAAACGTCATTTTCATAGGTGCCATATTTTCTAACCAACCATTTCACGTAATCTATTTTCTCTGATTTCTGTGACCAACCATTCTCTCCTTATACATATACATAGGTGCAATATTGCACGGGGAATCTTGTAACCATCCATTATGTTATCAATTTTTTTTGTCGGTCCACTCTTAGATAACACTGCTTCGTTAAAGTAAACTGGATACAGAGGGAGCGAAGTCCATTAAATCCAGGCTGACGTGGCAATAAGCCCATCCGAAACTAAACCCACAGCGAGCTTATTGGGCCCAAGAAAATGTGCGGCCCATCTATTGAGTATAAGTCTGTATTTTTTAATTATATGAATAATATCACGAAAATACTACAAGTATATACTATTTTTTTTTTTTTCTGGAATAGACTAATAATACTAATTACTACAGCAGAAAGCCTCTGCTACCAAAAAAAGAAAACCATACGTACATTTATTTAACCTATATGTAAAATATCATTATACTTTTGTAATTTTGTGGTCTCATTTACCTTATGATGTCAAAAGCTTTATTAGAATAGTCAAAATAATTTGTTAGATGTGGGTTTTGATTTGTGGGGGTAACTCACTCGAGTGTGCGTGTGAAGTTATTCGTAATATTCGGGAATATGTTCCCATGGCCGGCAATGGAGGAATTCGAGCAGAAAGGCTGTACCTGGGCATGGATTTTGGTACTTCCGGCGCTAGGTTTTCCGTCATCGATGACCGAGGAGGGGTTCGGGCCGAGGGGAAGAGAGAGTATCCCCGATTCATGGTAAGATTTCGCCTTATTTTTTTATGAATTTATGGGATTATAGCTAAGCCGACATAGTTTGATGGTCGGTACTCAGTAGGAATGTCTGGATTAGTTGCTTGTGTCGGAAGAAGGTTTTCTTGTTGAACTCTACTGCCTGAGAATGGATAGGGTTTTCTCTCGACATTTCTGCGATTATGCTTCCAAAATCATTGTTTTACTCCCGTAAGCAAATCGATCAATCAGATTTTGTGTGGAGTGATCCTTATTCCTTAATATCTGGGCTCGATTTCATGTTTTCCTTGTGTGGAATTAGGTTCCTTTCTTTTCCCTTATGGGCATTACGTCTGCCATTGCCGTGCTTCTTTTTCTTGAATTTGTGATTGATACATATTGTTTCTGTCATCTTGAAAGAGGGAAGAGGGTATGGACTGGGCAAGCTCATGGAAAGCAACTCTTTTTTCACTGCTCGAGGATATTCCCATTAGCATCCGATCCCTCGTCTCATCCATTTCGCTTGATGGGACTTCCGGGACAACGTTGATTCTAGGCAGGTACTTGCTCTCCTCAGGAGACTATTGTCCCCATTTCCTCTCATTTCCTTATTTTTTCTTACTCTCCTACTGGTTCATTTCTTCATTAAATTTTGATCCATTTCTTACTCACGTTTGGAATCTGTTCTTGTATTGGGTCTGGGCTCTTTCCTTATTAGAAACGATTCCCATGCCTCGTTATACTCTCGCCATACCTGTGATCTGTGTATGTGATATTTCCATGTGTTGGACTTGACACAAATTCTTCTCCATCATGTCTCGGATTCTTCTTGTTTCTTTGCTGTGTCTTTGTTTACGTTGGTCCTGTTTTCTTGGTGCATTCGCTTTCGTTGCCTATTATACAGCATTCGCATAGTAGTTTTTAGGTAAGCCGGATTCTATTTTCTTTTAAGGTTCTGTATTCCTTTGAAAATTTTTAAATGCTCCCCTTGTAATCTCTCTCTCACACAAAGTGGACTTCCCTATTTGAATGTGGCACACACCATAGGAGTTTTTCAGACTGATTCCTTGTGCAATCTATTATGCCCCTTCTTGAGTTTCTGTTCTCGTACTGAATCTTCTGGTTCCCTCCTGCATCATTTCAGCAAAATGAAACATCATTTTATTCTTAAACTCACCCGATTATGCTGTGCAGTGGAAGTGGAGAACCTTTGTGTCGGCCTTTTCTGTACAATGAGAGCTGCCCAGACGCTTTGCCTGAGGTAAAGTCTATAGTACCAGCAAACCACAGAGTCTGCTCTGGCTCCTCTGCCTTGTGCAAGCTCGTTTCATGGTGGAATACTGATGTTCCAGGCAAGGAATCAGCCGTATTGTTGCATCAGGCAGATTGGTTGCTGTGGTTACTTCATGGCAGACTCGGTGTCTCAGACTACAACAATGCCTTAAAGGTAGCACTGCCCTGATTCGATTGTGATAGCATATGTAGATCAGACTTGTTTTCTTTTTTCGTTGAATTATGACGAGTCCATGGAGAAGCAAGGAAGGTACAAAAGTGAGGACAAGTGGGAAGACATGATTATATATCACTTTCTAACACGAGAATGCGGTTGGTGAAGTCCTTTTCCCCCCTTTATTTTGCTTCCAGTGCAGGTTGGTTATGATCCTGAAAGTGAATCATATCCATCGTGGCTGCTCTCTCAACCTTATTCTTGTCTCTTGCCTTCCGTTCAAGCACCTGGAACTTCAATAGGCCATCTGAAAGCAGATATTAAAAACCAATTCGGTAAGATTTGTTGCCATTAATGCGAAATATGTGACTCTGTAATGGGAAAACATGTTCTTTTCTATATATAAATTCTCTTTTCGCATTAACCAGGATTTCCAGATGATTGCATTGTCTGCACTGGAACTATCGATACCATAGCTGCATTCCTTGCGGCCCGTGCTACACAACCGGGAAAAGCTGTAAACACTCTGCCACACTTTTTGAATCAGTATGTAAAACTAAATTCTGGCTTAGGTCCTGTGCCTTATCTTCTTACCGGTTCATTATCATGTTGATATCCCTTCGTGAACGCTTCTTATCATTCATCCTTCCTCACTGGGTTCAACCTTAGCCATCCTGCTACTGAGCACCAAAAGGGTCGAGGACACGAGGTATGGAGTCTACAGCCACCGTCTTGATGACAAGTGGCTAGTTGGAGGAGCTTCCAACACTGGTGGAGCTGTTCTTAGACGGCTTTTCAGCGATGAGCAATTACAGAGACTGAGCGGAGAAATCGATCCCGCGGTGGCATCTCCTCTGGATTATTACCCTCTTCAGAGTGCTGGCGAAAGATTTCCGGTGGCTGATCCCAACTTGGCTCCCAGGTTTGACTGCTTCCTCTCTCAGGGTATTCATTTGTCCAATTTCTAATCAGGGCTGAATTTTACAGTGAACATATATGGTTATGTGGAAGTTGGCCACCGTGCCTACATCTTCCACTAGATCATACTATGTAATATCATAGCATAGTTTAGATTAGAAACCTTATGTCATCAGGCCTCCCTTAAGATGTGTAAAATATTTTTATTTTCAAATATAGATTATTCACATAAAAAGCTAATTACATATTGCAGGTTACATCCACGCCCAAAAAGCGATGTCGAGTACCTGCACGGTATCTTGGAATCCATAGCACGTGTTGAGGTACGAACCACTCTATTGGTTGCTTCATATGTACCAAAGATGTTGCGGACGTGTTGAGGTACCAAAGATGTTGCGGACGTGTTGCGGACGTGCAGAGTGATAACTGGCAGCCCATTTTTCTTAACTTGGATTCGAGTGTACGTTATGCTTGGTTGGTTATGTCTCTCTTTCATAAGTTGAAAGTTTTTTTTAAAAAAAGAAAGATAGAAGTGGGGTGTTCCGAGAATCGAACTCGGGACCTCTCGCACCCGAAGCGAGAATCATACCACTAGACCAAACACCCTTTTATTCATTCCATCTAAACAATTGTCCCCATTCTTAATGTAACCCCAACAGTTTACCAATATTATATATTTCACCCCATACTCTCCATTATTCCAATCTCATCCGCTTTTCCACGTGTGTGCCTGTTGTTGAGACTACTCTGTGCAGATCTAATATTGGTAACTGTATGTAAATGAATGGATAAACCAAAATAATTACACCTTCTGTCTATTTCAAAAAACGAAAATAATTGCGTATCCACTTATTTATATCTTATTATCATATAGCTGTTAATATCACTGTATTCTGAAGAATTATTGCTAACAAAACAACTCTGAGAAATACCTTGTTAGGAAAATCGAATCATTGTATCCTTGCCACGTTATAATTCTCCGATATATTGCTATGCATAAAAACCCAAAATTGGAAGAATATCATCACATTCACATAATCTGGATAAAATTTTAAAAATATATATATATACCATAGAAATTATCAATGAATGTAGTAATGTACATACAGATTGATATGTATATATATGATTTTTACACACAACAATCTTCTCCTACATTCTCTCTTGCACTAAAGAACAAGATGGATTGCTTCCTCTGTTCACCCTTTGTTTTCGTTTGTCTAATATTCGTTGGGTACGTGGTTAAGATTTTGCTGAACCGGAAATGTCCATCCCCGCCCGGTCCGAGAGGGTATCCGATATTCGGAAACATGGCGTTGATGAACCAATTGAGCCACCGTGGGTTGGCCGATCTGTCCAAGAAATACGGCGGCCTCTTGCATCTCCAGATGGGGCGGATTCATATCGTGGCCGTCTCCACCGCCGCTATG